TAGCGTTTTGTTTTAGTGTCTCACGGATGATCCACGTTTGGCTGAACAACTGTGTGTCAGAGATGAGATGTGAGGGGCCTTTCTGTAGGGTAAGGGTATGTCTGCACCTCTGATTTTACTGCATGAGGAAGTACTGCCATCTTAAGGTGTATTTAATCCTTTGCCTTCTTAGGTGAGATCCTTTTCCCACAGAAATGTGGGAATGCACACACAGGGAATGGAGCTTCAGTTTTTGGCTTTTTAGTATCTCTCTCTTCCAGCTAGAGCCAAAGTTCAGCTTGAACAGATTGGGACTGTATGGAATCATGGAATTGCTGAGCTGGAAAAGACCTCTGAGATCACCCAAAAATCACCCCAACACTGCCAAGCCCACGACTAATCTATGTCCCCTCGTGCCATATCCACACATTTTTGGAACACTTTCAGGGATGGTGACTCCACCATTTCCCTGGGCAGCCCATCCCAATGCTTGGCAACCCTTTCCATGGAGAATTTTTTCCCAATATCCAGTCTGAACCTCCCTATTGATGTCTGAACCTCCCTCCTCTTTAGTGCAGTTTCTTTGGATGTTACAGCCCTTCCTCCTGGCTTGTGAGAATCCCTGGTTTTAATGGGCCACCTGGAGAACCTCCTCCCCAATTACACATTTTAGGACACACACAGCATTAGCCTTGGAATGCACTTCCCTCACCTTTGGCAAAGGCAGCCAGTTCATGAAGCAGAATTCCCACCATTCCTACCTGCTCCAAGACAACCCTTCCAGGCATGAAGAAACTGTTGAGAGCTCTCTCTGTTTGGGTGTGGTTGGGGGGGGGAGGTTTGTCTAAAACCATCTGTCTTCTCCATCCACCTCTTGTGGAGGTGCCATTGCTGCATTTTATTTGGCTTTTGTAACCTCACAAACTTTTGGCATCCAGCTTTTCCCTGTCCATGAAATATGCCTTAGTGGCAGGTGAGATCTGCTTGGCCAGGCCCTCCTTTCAAGCACCAGCTGCTTTTTTTAGGTTCATCTGGGAAGTTTTCCCATTCCTTTGCCTGTTCCTCCCACCCAAAGTGTTGCTTTGTTACAGGGAACTGTTTCATCCCCCCGTCTACAAGGTGGGTTTCCATTGCATCGCTTGCTGCAGCTTCAACCCAGGGTCTCAGGAATAATTAGGCACTCATCAGCCAGGTGTGGGTATCTAAAGAAGTCCTGGGAGTGGGACTTTCTTCCACAGCTGTGTTGTTAGACGGGAAAACCTTCAAAACTTCCAGAGTAAAAAGCTTTTTCCATTTTCCAGATTTTCAGTCCAAATCTTCTCTCAAACTGTTTGTTACCCTGATTTTTTTTTTTTTTTTTTAATTGTTACCCAGAAGAGTTTGGCTCAGTCATCAGGAAGAATTCAGGAGGAATTTCTCCCTGGAAAGGGTGGTCAGGCACTGACAGGGGCTGCCCAGGGAGGTTTGGAGTGCCCAGCCCTGGAGGTGTCCAAGGACGGGCTGGAGGTGGCACTCAGTGCTCTGGGCTGGGGGACAAGGTGGGGATCAGACAAAACTTGGACTTGGAGGGCTTTTCCAAGCTCAGTGACTCTGGGATCACTGTTACTCCCATTCAAGTAGCCTGTGATCAAGATCAGGACTCCTAATGTGGGTTTGAGGTTTTTCTGCCTTAAAAATCTTACCCTAGGAAATGCAGAGGCATCTCAAAATGTTCTCCCCCTCTTCTGGTGAGCACAGGAGACAAGTGTGGACTTCCCTTGGCTCCTGCCACAGCCAGGCCTTGATAACTTGTTGGAGAAATAACCATTATTGTGAACTTTCAAACACATTTGCCCCGTAGCCTCTCCCCTGTGAACTCTGATGGCCCCTCTTGAGCAAGGACCTCATGTTCTGCTGCACCTTTGCTTTCAAAGAGATGTTCGGCCTCAGGTCACTCATCTCTGAACTCTGGCGGCCCCTCTCAAGCAGGAGCTGCACGATGTGCTGGGTCACTGTTCTGATAAAAAAGGTGTTTGGTTAATAAGTCACCCAAACTTTGGTGACTCTGCTGCTCGGCGTGCCAGCCGCTGCAAACCAGGGAGAGCATCCTGCCTGAACTCCAGGCACCTTCCCTGAGCAAAGGCCGGAGGTTTAGGTCTTCCATGTCAAGAGTTCACCACGGTTCTTGTAGTACAAGCTCCCTGGAGAAGCTCAGTGGCCATAAAAGTTGGCTCCTGCCTTGAATCCGGCCCAGCCACGTGCACAGTGACTCACTTGGGACAACCCTGACCCAGCAGAGTCCCTCCAGGAGCAACCGCTGCCTCTGCCCTGCTAATTGTTCTCAATCACTTGAGATAACATAAATGCCTGCAAAAGCTTCTTCAGGTGCCCTGATAGCACTTTAGTCCGTGCTTTTATCGGTGTTCAAACCCTACTCTTCGAACTCCGATAACCTGTCTCAGCACACACTTTGGACAGGCAAACATTAAAGTCCACCGTGGTATAAAGGAGCTACAGCTCTTTTCTGCCTTCATATTCTGCTGGAAGGAGTCGGAAGGAGCAGTTATCTCCTTTCCTGCCCCTCAGCAGGGATGTGGAGGCCCCAGGTAACCCCCGGGCTGGTCCTTTTCCTCGCTTTCTGGAGCGTGGCAGAAGGTGGGAAGCTCTTGGTGGTGCCTCAGGATGGGAGCCACTGGCTGAGCATGCGCATGGTGCTGGAGAAACTCTGGGAGAAGGGGCACGAAATCGTGGCCGTGGTTCCCGACGCCGCCCTGCTCCTGAAGAGCCCCCAGTCCTTCACCATCAAAACATACTCCGTGCCCTACACGCAGGAGTTTGTGGACAGCTACTACCAGGAGCTGGGGGAGAAGAGCTTTGAGCTGACATTCACAGCGCTGTTCAGCAACATCTCCCAGCTGACCAGCCTGTTCTCCTCCGCCTGTCGGCACCTCTTGTACGACAAAGAGCTGATGAGGTACCTCCAGGACAGCAGATTCGATGCCATCATGATGGACCCCGTGCTGCCCTGCGGGCCCATCCTTGCTGAGCATCTCTCCCTCCCCTCAGTCTACTTCATGCGTGGCCTCCCGTGCACCTTGGACTACAAGACTGCCCAGTGCCCCAGTCCCGTGTCCTACGTGCCCAGGACCTTCTCCTCCGCGGCGGATCGCATGACGTTCCCGGAGCGCGTGAAGAACCTCCTGATCGGGCTCTCAGAGCCTGTGCTTTGCTACCTCTTCTATACAGAGTACAGGAACTTGGCCTCTGAGTTTCTGCAGAGGGATGTGACGATGCAGGAGCTCTTCAGCAAAGCCTCGGTGATGCTGATGAGATACGACTTTGTCTTTGAGTACCCGCGCCCCGTAATGCCCAACATGGTCTATGTCGGGGGCATCAACTGCGTGCAGAAGAAGCCCCTGTCAGAGGTTGGTCATGGCTTACCCTGAGGGTGGCAGGGCATTTACTGGTGGCTCTTTAGGATGTGCTGGTTTAAGGGCTCTCTTGGTGTGATCAGCTGGAGAAGGGGAGGCTGAGGGGAGACCTTTTTAAAGTCACATCTTTGTCCAGGGGCAGAGGAAGGGCAGGACTGAGCTCTGCTCTGTGGGGGCCAGGGACAGCACCCAGGGGATGGCTGGAGCTGTGTCAGGGCAGGCTAAGGGTGGATCTCAGGGAAAGATTCTTCCCCCAGAGGGAGGTTGGCACTGAACAGGCTGCCCAGGGCAGTGGGCACAGCCCCAAGGCTGCCAGAGCTCCAGGATCATTTGGACAACACCCTCAGGAACAGGGTGGGATTGTTGGGGTGTCCTGGGCAGGGCCAGGAGTTGGGCTGGTGATCCTTTTGGATCCTGGCCAGCTGAGGATATTCTGGGATTCCATGTGCCCAAATACCCCAAAAAACCAGGGGTGTGCAGGGACGCAGGGGGAGCTCTGTTGCCTCTGGATTTGTGTGAGGTAGCAAATAAGAGGATGATTGGGCAAAGAAGCCTTCAGGACTGTAACCATCTCCCTTCCCTTGTCTGAATCTCCCTCGTGCTGTGCAGACAGGGCAGATGTCAGTGGTTTATCCTTTCAGACCAGGAGTTATTGCTCAGCTTGCGACACCTTTACTACTGTAAACCCAGGACTTTCACTGTGATAACTGCTGTGATAGAGCACCAAATCTGCAGATAAGCCTTTACAACCCACTGTATATCAAATCTCCGTCAATCTTTGCTTCTTGGTTACGCTCCAAGGGCACAAAGCAATCCAAAGGTCAGGCTCGTTCCATGTCCAATCAGCGGAGCGGACAAGGCAGGGAGGTGATCATTACCTGGATGTTAATGATTGCTGGGTCAGTCCCATTCATGACTCTTGCTCAGCCTTTCAGCCCAACATGCTGTTGGTCCCTGCTCTCTCGGTCCCTCCTTCCTTTGTCACTCCTCCCTGGAGTGTTTGAATCCTCCGATGTCAGTCCAAACATTCAGCTTCGCCTCGCGGCGCCCGGTCAACTCAAAGCTTTCACTGTGCACAGAAGACAAACCCAATATTTACCCACAGTTAAAAATTACCCCCATTTCTCTCTGTTAAAAATTAAACCCCCAGCTTAGTTAAAATTCAAGTGCAAAGTTCCCCCTGTGGTTCATTCTCCCTGCTGCAGCCGCTTAAACCCTTGTTGGGTTCCCACGGGGCAAATGGCTCCTTCCAACCCAGGATTTCGCTCTCCTGCCTCCTGGGCTGTGTTTTTCCTGCTCCTGTGGACCTTTGGAGAAGGTGGGAAGCTTTTGGTGGTGCCCATTGACGGCAGCCACTGGCTGAGCATGCGGCCGGTCGTGGAGCGGCTCCGGCAGCGGGGACACCACGTCGTGGTGCTGGCACCGGAGACGAACCTCAGGATCCGCCCCTCGGGGCTTTACACCCTGAAAACCTACCCTGTGTCATACACCAGGGAGTACGTGGAGGCAGAATTCCAGCAGATGGGCCACAGGAGCTTCACCCCCCAGCCCTTCTTGGAGAAACTCGCCAGAATAGCCAATTTTACCACCATGTTCTTCGACTCCTGCAGACGCCTCCTGGCCGACAGAGAGCTGATCCGGTACCTCGAGGAGAGCGGATTTGACGCCGTTTTCATGGATCCCTTCTTTCCCTGCGGGCAGATAGTGGCTGAGCACCTCTCCCTGCCCTCCGTGTACTTCGTCCGGGGGCTGCCCTGCGGCCTCGACTGGCAGGCCACGCTCTGCCCGAGCCCTCCTTCCTACGTTCCCAGGTCCTTCACCCGCCTCACCGACCGCATGAGCTTCCTCCAGCGCCTGGGCAACCTCGTGGCCAGCCTGAGCAGCTCCCTGGCGTGCTCTTTCCTTTATTCTCCCTACGATGCGTTGATCAGGGAGTTCCTGCAGCGGGAGGCGACGGTGCCGGAGCTGCTGGGCCACGCGGCCCTTTGGCTCCTGAAATACGACTTTGTGTTTGAGTTCCCCCGGCCCCTCATGCCCAACATGGTCCCGGTGGGGGGCATCGGCTGCACCAGGGAAAACGAGCTGTCCCAGGTTAGTTCCCTTCTTCCCCCCACCCCGGTGCCTGCGCTGAGGGTTCTCTCCAGGAGATGGAGCTCCCAGGCAGGAATAAACGGCGCCAGGTGGGAGCGGCTGGGCAAGCGCTTGGCACTGTTGGGATTGCTGGGGTGTCCTGGGCAGGGCCAGGGGTTGGACTCGATGGTCCTTGTGGGTCCTTTCCTACTCAGGATATTCCATGAACTTGAGAATGAAGCCCACCCCTCCCCCCCCCGGTGAAGCCCTCCTGCCACTTCTGTGTGAAATACTCCAGACTGTAAATGTGTTTTGTCTGAACTGTGCCAAGCTCCCTCAGTGTGGGTTGTCTCCTGCTTTCCCTTAAGAAATCCTCCTAATTCTCTTCTTTTCCAGGGACTGTCCACTGCAGGTATTTCATAAAGGTGGTGGGTGGCACCCACTGAGATGAGCAGCTGCTCATTAAAAACACTGCTAAAATAAGCGGGATATTCCCAAAGCAGGGCTGCAAAAAGTTTCCTCAGAGTAGTGGCACTTGCGAGCAGAAAGTCAGACCTTGGAACACAAAAAGCATTTAGGAAACAAAGTCAAACCAATGTGCCTGATCCCATAGGAAATAAAGAGGGTGAAATATGCCTCTAGACAGCCCCAAAACTGCGGTAAAGAGCAGAAACTAAGAGAGTCAGTCTTGGTTGTCCCTCCCTGTTGGAGGAGGGTTGGAATGAGATGATCTTTAAAGTCCCTTCCAACCCAAATCGTTCCATGGTTATCCCAGTGGATCCTGGAGATAACAGTTCACTTGCCAGACTTACAGGAACTTCTAGTTCATTTTATTCCACTTACTCCACTGTGATTCCTGCAACAGTTTCCTCCAGTTTTATCTTCCCTTCCCTGGCTTGACCAAATATTTTTCTGTGGCAAAGAATTTTTGCTCCAGCCTCTGGCAGTTTTTGTGCTTCACTGGAATCCCTTTGTCCTTGGATTCCAGTGCTGGATCTCCTGGTCCTTCTGTTATGGAAATCAATCAAACCAAATAGATACAACGCCCTGGCAGCACTTCAGTATTATCCTACTCAAAGCAAAGACAATAAATCCAGATATGAGGAGTTCAAGCTGTCAGAACACTTGTCCAGAATGCTGATTCTCTCTTGCAGCTGTGGGGGCTGAAAAGAAGAACATCAGCTCTAAATCCAGACTTGCAGTAAATGTGGAAGTGAGCCAGCTGGGGAATGGCTGCCAGGAAAAACAGGATGGGGATCTATCCAAGGCCAGCCTGGATAGTGGAAGGTGTCCCTGCCGTGGCAGGGGGTGGAATGAGATGGGCTTTGATGTCCCTTCCCACCCAACCCATTCTGGGATTCCATGAATTGATCTCTTCAGTCGCTCCAGCGTCATTTTTGTGGCACAGACCGTGTCTTGGAGCAGACAGGCTCCGCTGCACGATTGTTTCCCAGCCGGTTTTCCCGCAGGTCCGTGGTGAATCTGAGTTCAGGCACCTCCCTAACTCTGTTGACCCTCCTGTGCCCATTTCTTTTCCCCCAGGACTCGCTTTCCTGCCCACAGCTGACTTCCCCGATCGTAACTTCGTGTCTCGGTTTTGGTTCCTTGCGCCGACTCCCGACGTCGTTGCCTTTTCCGGGGAGTTTTGTGGGAATGCCGCAGCGATTCCAGCGTCTGACCTGCACGGGGCCTTGACCGAGGGTGTGCTTGTTTTGGCAGGAGTTCGAAGCCATCGTGAACGCCTCTGGGGAACACGGCATCGTCGTCTTCTCGCTGGGCTCCATGGTGTCCGAGATCCCCATGAAGAAAGCCACGGAGATCGCAGACGCCCTGGGGACGGTCCCTCAGACGGTACCACTGCCCCCCTCCCCTCCCCTCCCCTCCCCTGCCAGCAGGGCCGTTCCCAGGCCCTCCCCTCCCTCTGCTGCCCACACTGACGTGCTGTTGGCCCCTCCTGGCAGGTGCTGTGGCGATACACGGGCCCCACGCCCCCCAACCTGCCCAAGAACGTCAAGCTCGTCAAGTGGCTGCCGCAGAACGATCTCCTGGGTAGGTCTGAGGGGCCTCCAGAGACACCGGGGGCTTCTTTGGCCCCTTTTTGCTCTTTTACTCTTTTTTACTCTTAGTCTTTTGCTCCCTTTTACTCTTTTATTATTTTCTTTTTTAAATTATTTTTTAATTATTTTTAAAATTTTTTATTCCTTTTTATTCTTTTTTATTCTTTTTTATTCTTTTTTATTTTGTATTCTTTTTTATTCTTTTAAAATTATTTTTATTCTTTTTTTATACTTCTTTACTTTCTTTTAGTCTTTTTTTACTCTTTTTTTTACTCTTTTTCACTCTTAATTTTTTATTTTTTTATTCTTTCTTATTCTTTTTTATTCTTTTTTATTTTCTTTTACTCTCTTTTACTCTCTTATTCTTTTTTATTCTTTTTTACTCTTTTTTATAATTTTTAAATTCTTTTTTATTTTTATTTTTATTCTTTTTTTATTCTTTTTATTCTTTTTTATTTTCTTTTGCTCTTTTACTTTTATTCTTTTTTATTCTTTTTTATTCTTTTTTATTCTTTTTTATTCTTTTTTATAATTTTTAAATTCTTTTTAACTTTTATTCTTTTTTATTTTCTTTTACTCTCTTTTACTTTTATTCTTTTTTTATTCTTTTTTATTCTTTTTTATAATTTTTAAATTCTTTTTTTTCTTTTATTCTTTTTTTATTCTTTTTTATTCTTTTTTTATTTTCTTTTACTCTCTTTTACTTTTATTCTTTTTCAATTCTTCTTTATTATTTTTTATAATTTTTAAATTATTTTTTACTTTTATTCTTTTTTAATCCTTTTTTAATGCTTTTTTATTCTTTTTTACTCTCTTTTACTTTTATTGTTTTTTTATTCTTTTTTATTATTTTTTATAATTTTTAAATTCTTTTTTACTTTTATTCTTTTTTATTCTTTTATATGTTCTTTTACTCTTTTACTTTTATTCTTTTTTATTCTTTTTTATTCTTTTTTATTCTTTTTTATAATTTTTAAATTCTTTTTTACTTTTATTCTTTTTTATTTTCTTTTACTCTCTTTTACATTTATTCTTTTTTATTCTTTTTTTTCTTTTATAATTTTTAAATTCTTTTTTATTTTTATTCTTTTTTATTTTCTTTTTTATTCTTTTTTATTTTCTTTTTTATTCTTTTTTATTTTCTTTTACTCTCTTTTACTTTTTTATTCTTTTTTATTCCTTTTTTATAATTTATTTTTTATTATTTTTTTGTGATTTTTTTAATTATTTTTATTCTTTTTTTGTTTTTTTATTTTTTTTACTTTCTTGTACTCTTCTACTCACTTGCTCTCTTTTCTTTTTCACTCTTTTTTCACTCTTTTTTCACTCTTTTACTGTTATAAAGCCCCACGAGCATCACCTGAGGGTCGCAGGCCTTGCTGGGAGTCACCACCCCGTGACCCCCATTTCTGTGTGTCACGGACCTTCCTTGCAGCCTCTGCTGCCGGAGCCAGAGCTCATCTTGGAGGAGGTGCCTCTTCAGGCCTGCTGAGTTATGGACCAGCTCTGGTTGCTCCCAAAGTGCTCCCAAAGCTCCCAGTCCAACGGGGGATCCTTATCTCTCGCTCACCAGGCTCGACACGCAGCTGTGCTTTTGTCACGCCTGCTGGGCTGAGGAGCACATTTAGGGTCTCCAAGTGAGCCCTCACAGACAGGTCCTCGGGCTTCCCAAAGTGGGGAAGGTGTGTGTGACGTTGCCAGGAGAGCATCTCGTGGTGAGACCGCGGGCTCAGCTGTGGGACCAGCAGATCAGAGGGTCGCAGAGTACGCTGAGATCCCTTCAGGATCATCCACTCCAGCTCCTGGCCCTGCACAGGACACCCCAACAGTCCCCCCTGTCCCTGAGGGCGTTGTCCAAACTCAGACAGGCTTGTTGGCACGACTGTTCCCTGGGGGAAGAACCTTTCTCTGAGATCCAGCCCGACCCTGGTAAAAAAGTAACTCAGTGGCAACATCCACTTTAGCCCCTCCTGGCTCTGATTTAATCCTAAAACCCTTGGAGGGGTATCCAGTGACTACCCCAGCCAAGACAGAGCTCTCCAGCTCTAGGTTCCTTCAACCCCCTGTTCTCCCCCCTCAGCCCTTAAGGAATGGACAACCCAAGGGGCTTGATTTACACCAACCAGGGCTGTTTTTTTGGGGCAGGTTTTTTGTTGCTGTGAGTCAGTAACCTGTGTTTGCCTCCACAGCCCACCCCAAGACTCGAGCCTTCATCACCCACGGGGGCTCCCACGGGGTCTACGAGGGCATCTGCAACGCGGTGCCCATGGTGCTGATGCCCCTGTTCGGAGACCAGATGGACAATGCCAAGAGAGTGGAGTCCAGGGGGGCAGGGCTGACCCTGAACATCCTGGAGATGACCTCCCAGGACATCTCCACTGCCCTGAAAGCCGTCATCAATGACAAAAAGTGAGTGACGGGAGGGCGGCCCTGTCGTGGGGCACCCCCAGGGACCTCCTGCCCTGCAGGGCCGGGCTCTGCTCCCAGGGGGATTCTCAGGTCAAGGTTATGGAGTTGAGAGCAGCTCCTTCCTTTGAGCCTTGTCCTGGGCAAAACTTGGCCTGTGCCCGTGGAATCAGTGGGTGACAGGAACTGGCTGGTGGGGGAGGATGCAGGGATGGGAGGATGCAGGGATGGGAGGATGCAGGGATCAGGGGATGAAGGGATCAGAGAAGCTGGGCTATAAATGCAATGGAATAAGTCAGTTTGACCAAAATGTCACCTCCTCAAATTCCAGTTTCCCAGGCAAAGGGGGCTTGGACACACCGTGGCAGGAAAGGCAGTGGGTGAAGGGAGAGGTGGCAAACAGGTTTGATTCCCCAAGCCAGTGGTGACACGAGTCAGGGGAGAGCCTGGAAGGGTGGAGTGGTTGATTTTCTTTGCATGAGGCTTGCCCAGAGATGCTGGAGGGGAGTGGTGGTGCCCTGGAGTATTCCAGAGGCTGTATTCCTGCAGGAAGCTCTGCTCTCCAGCTGGCAGGGTTCACCACACAGAGCTGTTAGCCCTCATTTATTTTACAGATGAGTTTTCTCACTCCTCTTTCCCTCCCTGGAGCTCATCAGGAGCTGTGTGAGCACAGAGAGCTGCAGGCTGGGCAATTCCAGCACAGAGCAGGAGGAACATGCAGGGATGTACTGGGGAAGGACAGGGAAGAGCCCAGGTTTGCAGTCACAGCCTGGCCAGGGTGTTTTAAGGAAAGGAGCTTGAAGACATAAGAGCTCTTTCTCTTCCTCCCATTCCCAGTTTCTTAGTCCTTGGTATCCTCTTCTCTATCATGTTGCTGAGAAATAGCACCTTCTCGACAGTGTTTCCTAACCACTGTTCTTACAGCAATGATGATGATAATGATGATAATAATATAATGGTAATGACAATGATGATGATGCAGCAGCTTGATCTGGAAAAGCTGGACAGCTTTTCTACCCCCAGTCTCCCATTTCAGCCTGAGACCTTCACCCCAGAGATTTTGCTGAGAGCTCAAACTAAGCTTTTCCTTATTTTCTGGTGCCTTTCCCTGTGGTTTGTTTTTTTTAAGCATTGAAAAGAGCGCTTTCTGGGCCTGTGACTTTGCCATCATCCTTCTCAAGGGGTGGGAGTGGGGGTGGTGGGGGGAAAACACCCTCAGAGGGCCATCAGACAACTGGGTCTGCATCCCCTCCTTTCTGGGGGTTCAGTCTCAGAACCACGAATCCAGTGGAGTCCAGAGAAGCTGTGGCTTCTCCATCCCTGGAAGTGTCCAAGGCCAGGCTGGAGCAGCCTGGGCCGGTGGGAGGTGTCCCTGCCCGTGGCAGGGGGGGTGGAGTGGGATGAGCTTTACGACCCTTCCCAACCCAAACCGTTCCATGACCGGAAACTCGCCCTGGCAGGTACAAGGAGAACATCCAGCGCCTCTCCGACCTCCACCTGGACAGGCCCATCCACCCCCTGGACCTGGCTGTGCACTGGGTGGAGTTCGTGATGAGGCACAAAGGGGCCCCCCACCTCAGGCCCGCCGCCCACGACCTCAACTGGGTGCAGTACCACTCCCTGGACGTGCTGGCCTTCCTGCTGCTCGTGCTGCTCCTCTCCCTCTTCATCTCCTTCAAGTGCTGCCTGTGCTGCTGCCGCCGCTGCTGCGGCAAGAAGGGAAGGACGAAGAAAGCCGCCAAATCCAAGACCCACTAGGGGGGTGAATCCGAGTCCCACCAGCAGGTGGGAGATAAATCCTCTGCTGTGGACCTCAAGGATCAGAGAACAGCTCAGATTTCACTGCAGTAGGCGCTGATTTGCAGTCCAGCAATAATAGGGATCCTTTGAAACTAGCAACACGAGAGGGGTTGTTGCACTGAGATAATTTTTTTGCCTTTAATTAAGAATCTGTTGTTTCGAAATACCTTGTGGAGAAGTTGCCTTTCACGCTCAGGCACTTCAGGGCTCCTGGTTTCCACCTTTTGATGTACAGAGGACTCACAGGGACTTCTTATTTTCACCTCTCCGTGCAACGGGCAGCTCGGATTTGCAGGGACTTTGGAAGTCTTCCAGGGTTTTAGGAGAGAACCATCTCATGTCAGGTTTATCAGACACTCTGAGATCTTTTGTGTAGTTGCTGTTGTAGAAGAGGTAAATGTTATGCACTGACCATACACCTCGTGGAAACCAAGCTTCCAGCGGGGTTTGGGGGAGTGTTTACAATATCCTGAACAAAACCAAGGGTTTTGGCAGGGAAGCTGCTGGAAAACCACTGTGTTTCCCCCCAAATTCCTCCTGCCCAGTGCTGTGGCTGGAGCTCACCTGTTTGGCAAGGAGACCTTTGTTAAGCATCAGATACAGACCCCGACTGATTGATTCCTGAGGAGCGATGCTCAGGTAAAAACCCAACCCCCAGCCCCAAAAATAAAACCCAAATCCTAAAAATAATGGCTCTCGTGTTTTCTGCATCCAGGGGACAAGTGATTGATTGCCAGAAGGAATCAGGGACAAAACACAGCCCAATCTCCCCCCTCCTGTCAGGGCACAGGTCCCACCTCCCCCCTAAAAGCCACTGTCACCCAGTCCTGCTCTGACAGGTCCCTGCAGGTGCTCCTGGCATCAATTCCCTCCCTGTTAAGGAAAGGTGAAAGACTCCATTGGATCTAATTCCTTGGGGTGATAAAAGCAAGTCATGAAGCAAATCCCAGATCCCCCCCCTAGCCAGGTCTGGGCTGGTGTCACCTGTACTCCAAAACAACATGCAAAAATATCCCAATTGCAGCTCAAAACCTCTCACTGAGGGGAAGAAAAGCCGAGATTAAAAAAGAATCGAAATGCCCATCCCCTGATTTATTTAATTTCAGAAAGATCTTTAAAAAAAAAAATATTTAAAGCTTTTTGCCAAAGCAAAACTGCAGAAACTGGGTGTCCTCCTCCTCCTCCTCTTTCTCTCCTTTTTTCCCTTCACTCTCCTTAGCCTGGACTGCTTCGTCCTGCTCTTTCTTGTCCCTTGGAGAAGGGATGTGCGGGGCCAGGGCTGGAGTGTCCAGCAGAGGCCACTCTGGGATCACCACCGCGAGAAACCAAGGGAAAGGTTCCCCCCTGCCACCAAACCAGCCCGGGGGGGTGGGACAGCGACTTGTTCATCCCCCAGGAATACGGACCCTGCCGCGAGGAGATGATTCTCGGAGGGAATCGGGAGCCGAAGCAGCGGCTTTGGTGCAGAAGAAGGAGGTGGAGGGGCTGCAGCGTCACCAGCGGTTCTCCCAAACTTTCCCAAGGGAAGGGTTAATCAGGAACAGTTTCCCTTCTTACTGCCCCGTAGTTGGATCCTTGAACAGGGCAGAGCCTCCAGCCCAGCTGCCCTTCCCGGGGGATGGAGAAATCCACGCCCACAGCCCCTCGGGAAGGCTCAGAGCTGGGGCTGGGTCACTTCCCAGGAGGGGAAACTGAGGCAGGGCCAACCCTCACCCCCTTCCCCGAGTTCCCCACAGCCCCAGGCCGAGCTTTTCCAGCAAATCTTTGGGAAAAGAAGCATCCAGAATCCCTTGGGGGTAGAAACACCTCCCACTCAGCACCACTGAGCACCCACGTAACCCCTGCAGAGCTGCTGCTTTCTTTTTAGTGATGATTTTATTTTTTTCCGTGGATTTTAACATCCAGGAAGACTGGGGGAACAAAAAAAAAAAGCAGCAGGAGACAGTCAGTGCTGCTCCCAGCTTTTCTAGTGCCCCTCAGCCCCAGCCCAGCTGCAAAATACAGCTCTTTGGCTTTTGTCCTGGGGGGCACAGCCTGGCCCTGGCTCCCCCCGGGGCAGGATGCACTTGGCACCTCTCCCTGCTTCCCACCAGCCAGGCCACGGGAAATGACAGGCATTGCTGACATTGCTCTGCAGCCACAGCGTTTCTGCAGCCTCAAGGGCAACAGGGAGGGTTTTTCCCTTGCCAGGGGAGCTCTGGGCTCCTCCACCTCCCCAGTGTGGGGGTCCACGGAGACCCCTGACCCTCAGGGACACCCCAGGGTGCTCCAAGCCCTGTCCAACCTGGCCTTGGACACTCCCAGGGATCCAGGGGCAGCCCCATCTTCTCTGGGCAACCTGTGCCAGGGCCCCCCTACCCTCCCAGGGTAGGGGATTATTCCTTCCCAATATACCATCTAACCCTGCCCTCTGGCAGCTTAAAGCCATTCTCCCTTAGGTCCCTCAGAGCTGCACTTAATTAAATAATTAATTGAATTTATCACCTCTCTTTTGGGTGCCTTTCTGTAAAGTAAATCCTTCCTGCTGCTGCTACCCAGTGACACCACTCTGTGGGGGAGGAGGGGTGGTTCGTGGGAGCTCCCAAACTCCCTGCCAGCCTCATTTCCCACTGTGGGAAAGCACTGGAGATGAACACCCACACAGCTCTCCCAGTGTCCCCTGCAGGGCTGGTCTGAGGAGCTCCTGACAGCTGAGTGTGATAAATCCAGGGGAGAAGTGACTGATTGCCAGAAGGAATCAGGGACAAAACACAGCCCAATCTCCCCCTGTTATCCTTTGGGATGCTGTAGGGCTCGTGCCTCCTGTGGGGGTCAGGAATCCATGGACCATCAATTCCTCACCTTTGGCAAACTGAAGCCACAGCCAGAGTCCCACATATTTCACTTCCATGGCTTGGGATCTGAACTCCATCAGAAGCAGGAGCACCACAGCTGCCTTGGCCAGACACACCTGGAGATGTTCCCTCCAGGCAGGAAAACATCTCTGTGCCAAAACAATCAGGAATTTTCTTACCCAAGAGCTTGACCAAAAGCAGCAGCCTCGGGGGTGAGATGGTTTCCAGCAACTTTCCCCTGGAGAGGGTGGCAAGGAGAAGGGATCGAGTGGAAAACCCACCCAAAGGCTCCCATGTGTCCAGGCTGCTTTGGGATGAAGAGACACCAGCAGAGGACATCTGACTGGGAGCACTGGAATAGTAACAGCTTTAATTAGAACATTCTTTTTTCCAAAAGTCTTTTTTTCTTCAAAAAAGAAAGAAAGAAAGAAAAAAAAAAAAAAAGGAACATCAAACAACAAGCACAAGAACCAGGCGCTGCACAAGGAGGGGGGATGCAAAGCCCAGAGAGATCCTTTGGAGAAGGGCTTGAAGGAAAAGGCACCCCAAGGACATATTCCCGGTCCCAGCAGGTGAGGGAGGATTGGATCTCAGGCTGAGGACGGGGAGAAATGACTGGAGTTGTCCCAAAAGGTGCTGGTTGTGACCCCCTGGGATCGGGGAGGGCACAGGGTGAGCACAAAGTGGTTCAGGCAGCGGCTGAAATGTTCAGGAGAACCTGAGGTAGAGAGAAAACCCAAGGAGGGGCAGAGGGGAAATGAACTGCTGGAATCATCCAGGGACATCCCCAAATCCCAGCAGACCCAAACTCCTGCCCTCCTCTGCTGCTGCCAAACCTCCCATCCCAGGGCCTGGCCAGGAGAAGGGGGAAAGCCAATCCCAGGAGAAAGGCATCCCTCCCTCTGACTGCTCCTCACTCCACCAGGGATTGCTGCTCCTGCAGGGAAAAACGTGCTCTTGGGGTGTCCCAGGGAGAGGGGTCTGGCTGCTCAAACCCCCTTGAGCTGCACAGGAAACTCCTCCAAGAGTTTTCCCCGAAGCCTGCGGAGAAATTTCCGGTGCTGTTTTACAGTCACGGAGCGCTCGTGGATGTGATCCTGGGAAGAGGGAAAGGAGACCATTCCCTTTTTGCC